TTGTAAATCAAGGAGTGTATTTAGTTTTTTCAATCAGTTAACATTTTCTCTATTCTGTTTCAATCTCATTAAGCTACAGATCTTTCCAATAGTAAGGAAATTTGTTTGCATTTTGTCTTTGGCTCTTAATCATACCTTCTCGCTAGAATACGCTATTTCCGTTGCCACACCATAGTTGTTCTGTCATTAAAAAACAAGAATATACAGTACCAAATTCAGTTCGTCCAAAGAGGTGTTAGGCATTTACATGCAATAGTTGATCTGGTGACCGTGCCATGAATGTAAAGACTATGGGATCATTCTACATGTGCCATAATACTGTGGTGACGATGTACTTCATATGTTTGGCTATGGTGGGATCACGAAACGTCTGACCAGCCGTCAGGCCATTGGCTCACCTATGAAAACGGTTTGTCTGGCAATAGCCATTCAAACCGGGGTTCTCTTCTTTCCTGATTTCAGTACATTTTTAAGTGATCTCCAACCACCGTTGGTCATCGTCAGCAAAACGACTACAAATATAAACTTAGTGAGGAAAATATTTTTATACATGGAGCTTCATCGTGCTTAGACTCATACAGGTTTTGACTCCAAAGAATAGAAGGCGAATTCTGGCTGTTTGACTTCGACCGATGGCAGGCTGACCACTACATAAGTTTTGTTGAAAACTCGAGGCAGCTAATGATGACTCGCGCGCCGACCTCATACTGGGTTACTGTAGAGCGAGGACGAAGCGTCGCACTCGTCGATGTGTCCTTAACGCAATTACGCCACAAATGCACCAGTTGGCCGGGAGACGATGAGCGATTCTTCGTCGCAGGTGGGCGCCTCTTGTGCATTGATCGTTCGCATCGATCGGTGCTCGAAGTTGGGCACATTTTAATCAAGACGCTAATTCGATCATTCGGCGTCAATCGACAGCCGCGCCAGTGGCCTTTGTCGACCACGTAATACACGATGCAGGCTGACCACGAACATCGCCAAAAAGCCAATCGCTTCCTCCCTCATCTTCCCTCACTGTCCTTTGCCTCTTACCACCCCGCTGCTGTTGATGAAGAAAATCGATCGCTGCGAAACTCGTCCTCATGTCTGTTCGCCTATCGG